AACTAATTCAACTGCTCCTTCTCGTGTAAGATCACGAAGAAAATGGAATCGCACATCAATGTGCTTGCTTCGGCCATGTAAGACAGGATTTTTTGACAACTTAATTGTGGAATTGTTATCACAAAAGATTGTTGTACACTTGCTTTCTTCTAGACTCAGCTTCTCAATTATTCTCTTCATCCAAACAGCTTGACTAGCACAAGCAGCTGTAGCCACAAACTCTGCTTCTGTGNCACGAATGAAATTTATTCCCAAATATATATATATATATATATATATATATATAATAATTTATTATATTTAATCTAGTTTTATTTATTACCTATTTGTATATAATTTCATAAAATACTTACACAATTATAATTTTTCATTGTATAATGTATAATTGATTTTCAAATACTAAAATTATTATAGGTATATATGATTGATTTTCAATTATTAAAATTAATATATATATAATATAGGGGTCAGGGAATTCGGGGCTGAGGCAAAATCTATCCCGGCCGAGGCCCATCCCCAAATTCCAGGGCCAATCTTGGGCCCGATCCCAACTCAAAGCTCGAACGATTTGGGAAAAATCCACCCCGTTCGAGGCAGGGTGGGGCGGGTCCTCGCGGGGCCGGAATTTGTGCCCATCCCTATAGACGATTGATGACCCCCATGTCCATTCCCTAGTCAAATTGTTTTTCAAATTAGTATTGTGTGCAAAGGGTTGAATTTTACATATTAGTTGTTGATCTAAATTAAGTAAATTACCTCCTGAAGCTGGCTGATGTGTGAGGTTTGACATTTGGCTTGAAGATTCACCTATGCCATTTCCAAAACCTATTAATTAAAGAAAGATTTAGTAATTTGTATAAAAAAACGAATATCGAATATAAATTACACCAACTAATTAATGAACTATAAATTATGGAATATTGCTACGGACACCGATAATTTGCACCAAATTTTTATATTGACGTATGTGGCATCCAGTATTTGCACCAAATTATGGATGTTCATCCCATATTTGATGGACGAACATCCACAAAAAATAACAATGGACTCCCGTCCATATAATATGGAGGGAGTCCATTTCCTCTGGATGGGCATCCACCTCATATGGACGACCGTCCATATAACACTACAAGAAATTTAACATTTAAGGACGAAAATTTTCGTCACATAAAGTGCAAAATTTGTCCTAAAAAGTAATGTGAGACGACAGACCAAATCGTCCCCAAAGCCGCGTCGCCAAAGGGTAATGCCCACGAAAAAACATTTCGTCCCCAAAGCCATGCCATTGGGGACAAAATAAGGTTTCGTCGTTAAAAATTATTTATTTTGTGACAAAAAATTTTGTCCACCAAAGAATAATTATTCATCCCAAATGAGATTGTTTCGTTTCCAAAAAAAGCACAAATAGGGACAAAAAAAATTTCGTCCCTAACTGGATCAATCATTGGGGACAAAAATTTTCGTCCCCGATGTTGTGGTGAATTGGGGACGAAAAACTTCGTCTCTCATGGTGTGGTGAATTGAGGATGAAAATTTTTGTCCTTGATTGGGTTGATAATATGATGATTAACCGCAATCCCAATTTATGAATCAACCCTACTAATTTTCCTTCATGATAACACCCAGATTCATTTTCACTTCACTATATAAACAAACAAAACAACAAAAGCTGAGTTTCCCAAATCAAATTACACTTCTTTATTAAGAAAAACTGTCGACATTACAATTCCTACTTACCCACTACCACAGAATCTTCTAAGTAAGTTTCAGGATTCCAATCCCTAAATTAAACATTTGTTGTAGTTCTAAATTTCGTCCCTAAAAATGTTTTTTTTTTTACAATTTAGGATAAAATTATATTTCATCGCTAATAAGTTTTCCAAATTTTGTACAATTAGAGACAAAATAATTCATCCCAGAAGAAAAAAGTTTTTAGTTACAAAATTTTTCGTCCAAAAATAATACATTTCGTCCCTAAAAATGTNAATCTCTTCTCAGTCTCTCAACAATGAGCTCCTCAGAGTCTTCACAATCAATTCCCTTCAAATCCAAAAAGCCACTCCACTTCAAACCCAAAGCCGAAACTACGAATCCAAATCCGGTGACGACCAAAACCCCTAAGAAGCCGTCACAGCTCCTCCGGCGGGCCCGCAACAGTGGCGTCGCCCTCTCCATCAAAGAAGTTCGAAAGGCAACCCAAATGCGAACACGGCCGCAACCACATCTAACGGACGAGGTTGAATATGCCAGAGGGCGGATCGGCTCATGGCCCACAAAATCCCCCGTAAAACCAGCTCATGGGTCCAACAAATTGCCGGAAAATAACGTTCTAATGATCTCTGATTTTTTACTGACTTGGATTTAGCATTTTTTTTGTCTGAAAATAGTTTTTTTTTTAATTTCAATTTGTTTGTTTTTTTTAATCAAATAAATGGCAGGTATAGGCAGCTGGCCGAGTTTTTTGATAGCTTAGATAGTGCGATCCGGTTATTGAAATTGAAGCGATCCATGTCTACTTTCACCAATATCTGCCCAAAGATTGAGTGTTTAACAGACAGGTTTTTTTTTCATTATTATTATTATTATTTTTTTACATTTACTAGATTTTCCCTTCATCAAGAAATGGTCTTATGCATTGTGATATTTATAGGAGGTTCTCGTATGGCCACTTGGCTCAGTTGAAGTTTATACTTCCTGAAGTGGTTGAGATAAAGAAAGTACTGATGTTTGATGAGAAGACTAATTGTATGAAGCCGGATCTTAATGTTACAATAAATGTTGAAGCGATAGAATGCGATGGCAAGTCAAAATCAGATAGTAAGAACATGGATGTGAGGAAGGTTTTTCGTGCTCGGCTGATGGATTTTATTAAAGGCCATCCTGAGGTATACCATCACCTTTATCCTTTGCATATTAAGCAAGGCATCAGAGTTTAATTGCATATCATTGTTAATGGTTTTACAATTAGTTCATTATATGGGTTCTGTTTTTCACTTTTACTTCGGTTTTTGTTTGTGTACTAGGAACTCAAAGTTTATTCAGTTATGAGATGTTTTCAATTTTTTTGGCTGCAATCTGCTTTTGTATAAATGCACTTGGCTTGATACAGAGCTTGTGTCTTCAGTAGGTGGTTCAACCTGTACCATAAATCGTTGGGTTTCAAATAAACTTTAGCGTGCAATTCATTTGAAGTTCAGTTTTCCTGATATCATTTGTGTTAATTTGGGGGCAAGAAATGTGAAAAAAGAATTCTCTTATTCAATAATGAGAAGTCTGTTACAATGTTGCTTATATACAAAGAAATAATACACAGCCTTTTAACTAATTTCTTCCAACTATCTTAACAAACTTACAGCTCAGCATAACTAATTTCTAACTAACTAAGTTTTCTTCTATTTACGTAACAACTTGATCTTTAACACTCCCCCTCAAGTTGGCATCTTATGTATATTTTTCAAGCATAACTTGGACAANTATTTCAACTAGACACCACCAGGACTTGAAACCATAAGATTGCATTTTCTCAAGTGATTAAATGAATCCAGGGCCCTTTCTGTGGTTTGGACAACTCCATTGGTCGCAACGCTGGGTATGTCCTTAACGATACCCCTCGCAATGTTAGCCGACATGGTTATACACGGCCGTCACTACTCTGCAATCTACATCCTTGGATGCATTCAGGTAGGCCTCATTGTTCATGTCAATATCTTGCTTGCTAAATTAATAAGCTAGAAATGGAAACTTCACTAATAAGGTTATAAATTGGATTCAGGTATTTGCAGGTTTCATTATAGCCAATCTTTCCGACAAGTTTTCAGCAAAAGGAGAGTTGTAGCAGTAGCAGAAACATAGTGTAAAATTTTGTTTGAATGAGAATGTAAATACATAAAGATTTTGAAGCATCAAGTAATGCCTTTTAAAAAAAATATATTATAATGCAAATTGTGAATAAGAAGGAACAACAAACTTTGGTTTCATGCTTATTATGCTAAATTTTCAATATCTTTATGCATATTTTTTTTCTTTTAATTTTATTGATATGGGTTCACTCTAAAATCAAATATATAATTTGGAAACAAAAAACTTAGGAATTAAAAAAGAAATGAATTCCAAGTCCATCAAGCTCAACTTTTGAAAATGAACAAAAGAAAGTGAAGTCATTATCTCTCCCCTTATGACCGGATAATAAGACATTTTGCCTTTGGGGTTAGTTATACCTAAGGGTATTGTGTTCGAAGTCATAGGAGTGACATATATCATATTTGTATAATTATTTTGGTCTGTTGGGCTTGTATGATATTCTAGCTCCAGGGGTTTAAGGATTAGGTGGACTTAACTGGCAATTAGGGTTTGTAGGGTGTTTCGTGACTCTGAGAATCAGGTGAGTTCGATTGACAATTATGCTCGAATACCTTAGTTATTAAAAAAAATATACATAAATTCACTTAATTTATTTATTATTTTTTACATAAATTCATCAAAAACAAAAATCAATTTCCTTGAAATATATTAATTAAGACAATAGGCAACCTAAAATTTCAACCCAAACATAAACCCTAAATTTAAAAGTATTTTTTCCAAAGAATTTTATAATGGAACCCTAGTTATAATCTATCCCAAAATTATACACCTAATAAAACACTTTAACAAGTCAGAAACTCGAACCGGTTCGGCTCCCGGTTAACGATAGATCGGATCAAAGTAGTCTACTGGCTTGGCCGGCTCCTAAGTTGAGGTCGTGTTTGGGAAAAAAGAAAGGGAAAAAAAATATAGTTAAATAAAGCAGTTCCAGAGCAGTGAATATTATCAAATCTAATGGAGAAGGGTAAAGCAGTGATGGGGTCGGGGCTTAGATGGGCCGTTGATTTCACGGACCAATTTGGCGGGAGTCCGACGTGTCAGCCATCCACGTGAGCTCCAGCTCATCCTTCCCGCCCAAAAACGCTAATATCTTCCTCGCGCCGCTTTGCCTTTCACCCAGCACTCTTCAAACTACCAAATCTCTTCTCAGTCTCTCAACAATGAGCTCCTCAGAGTCTTCACAATCAATTCCCTTCAAATCCAAAAAGCCACTCCACTTCAAACCCAAGGCCGAAACTACCAATCCGAATCCGGTGACGACCAAAACCCCTGAGAAGCCGTCACAGCTCCTCCGGCGGGCCCGCAACAGTGGCGTCGCCCTCTCCATCAAAGAAGTTCGAAAGGCAGCCCAAACACGAACACGGCCGCAACCACATCTGACGGACGAGGTTGAATATGCCAGAGGGCAGATCGGCTCATGGCCCACAAAATCCCCCGTAAAACCAGCTCATGGGTCCAACAAATTGCCGGAAAAGTAACGTTCTAATGATCTCTGATTTTTTACTGACTTNTTCATGATCTAACTAAAATCAGGAATGGGGTTTTACACTTGGAGTACAACCCATATTGTACTGTTAACATCTATGCATACATGGCCTATGCAGGCAAAGAATAACCTGATTACCTCAATCCTTTCACCAGTGTAAAAATATTGCTTAATCTTGAACTTTTGATCAATACAGGGACAGGAAAACAGAATCATGCGCAGAATGGATGTCTTGTGGTCTCTTGTGCAAATATTGCAATCAAAGACTATGTGCAGCTAACAACAGTGGCTGGTCATCTCTTGGGAGACAACCAAATTGGCTCCTCTATAATATATAGTGAAACATTTCTGACCTTTGTGGCATTTGGCCCCTGAATTCTTTTTTGTAACCAAAAGAGGAAGATAGAGGGGAGATTAAAAAAAAAAAGAAAAAAAAAAAGTGATTTCAGAGATCATTTTTGCTTTTTTCTTGTGTGTGGAGATACCATTTAGTCCATTTGTTTGCATTTTGAAAGCTTGATAATTGTAGTGATAAGAGTGCCTTAGAAATCCAATCTCTGTAATTGTAATGGTTGCAAACTTCTTTGATGGTCTTTCATTTATTTCAGGTCTTTATGGTTATTGAGGATCTACATTCATAAGCTACGATGGTTAAAAAGTAAAAACTACATAAAGCGAAACAAAGTACAACAGTTAATATAGTATTATCATGATTGGCTAATTTATTTCAACCATAGATCTAATTATGTAATTGTTGGCAAGGCACAGGGTCACTCTAATTTAAAATGAGCAAGGGTTGAGTTACCGTCTAGCCCTTTGGACCTGAAATAGGCCACAAATTCAGCAAAAGGAATTCCTCTGTAAATCGGGGGATGGTCAGACTGAGAAAGAAGCTCTTTTATTGGTTTATAGGGTTTAAATTTATTCATCCTACTTGGATAGAAAAGGCAAGCAACTGATATTCTGGGTCCAACTCTTCCCGCCAGTACCCTATGTTCCACGCTTCTGAATTTGTCATTGATGATAAGCTACACAAAATGGAGTCCACGTGTCAGCCATCCATGAAGCTCCAGCTCATCCTTCTCGCCCAAAAACCCTAATATCTTCCTCACCCCTTCGCGGCTTTCACCCAGCACTCTTCAAACACCAAATCTCTTCTTAGTCTCTCAACAATGAGCTCCTCAGAGTCTTCACAATCAATTCCCTTCAAATCCGAAAAGCCACTCTACTTCAAACCCAAAGCCGAAACTATCAATCCGAATCCGGTGACAACCAAAACCCCTGAGAAGCCGTCACAGCTCCTCCGGCGGGCCCGCAACAGTGGCGTCGCCCTCTCCATCAAAGAAGTTCGAAAGGCAGCCCAAACACGAACACGGTTGCAACCACATCTGACGAACGAGGTTGAATATGCTAGAGGGCAGATCGGCTCATGGTCCACAAAATCCCCCGTAAAACCAGCTCATGGGTCCAACAAATTGCCGGAAAAGTAACGTTCTAATGATCTCTAATTTTTTACTGACTTGGATTTAGCATTTTTTTTGTCTAAAAATAGTTTTCTCAATTTCAATTTGTTTTTTTTTTTAAATCAAATAAATGGTAGGTATAGGCAGCTAGCCGAGTTTTTTGATAGCTTAGATAGTGCGATCCGGTTATTGAAATTGAAGCGATCCATGTCTACTTTCACCAGTATCTGCCCAAAGATCGAGTGTTTAACAGACAGGTTTTTTTTCTTTTTTTTTTTTTTTTTTTACATTTACTAGATTTTCCCTTCATCAAGAAATGGTCTTATGCATTGTGATATTTATAGGAGGTTCTCGTATGGCCACTTGGCTCAGTTGAAGTTTATACTTCCTGAAGCGGTTGAGATAAAGAAAGTACTGATGTTTGATGAGAAGACTAGTTGTATGAAGCCGGATCTTCATGTTACAATAAATGTTGAAGCGATAGAATGCGATGGCAAGTCAAAATCAGATAGTAAGAACATGGATGTGAGGAAGGTTTTTCGTGCTCGGCTGATGGATTTTATTAAAGGCCATCCTGAGGTATACCATCACCTTTATCCTTTGCATATTAAGCAAGGCATCAAAGTTTAATTGCATATCATTGTTAGTGGTTTTACAATTAGTTCATTATATGGGTTCTGTTTTTCACTTTGACTTCGGTTTTTGTTTGTGTACTAGGAACTCAAAGTTTATTCAGTTATGAGATGTTTTCAATTTTTTTGGCTGCAATCTACTTTTGTATAAATGCACTTGGCTTGATACAGAGCTTGTGTCTTCAATAGGTGGTTCAACCTGTACCATAAATCGTTGGGTTTCAAATAAACTTTAGCGTGCAATTAATTTGAAGTTCAGTTTTCCTGATATCATTTGCACTATAGTCTGTTAGCACTTGTACCTTGGAACCTGAATTATATTTCTTCAGCATTCAGGGTGATGAAGTTCCGGAGGAAGCATTGCCAGAACCATTCAGTCGTCTAAAGACAAATCTGCATTCAACACGCAATGAGACATCGATTGAGTCATCCTCAGAGCAACAACAAACAATATCAGTTATCTGCTCGAGAGATTCGCCTTTAAAAGTGATCAAAGCTCCTGGCATGTCATTGGGCATGGAGACATCAACTTGTGTATTTACAAATCAGCAACCAGTTGTAGCATCTCATCTGTCTCGGTCTTTCAGAAGGCATTTTTCTCAGCCGCTTACAAACAATGATGCAGAGCAAACTGAGGCTCAGCAAAGATTATCAAAGATTTCCAATGAACCTTCAGTTGTTCCACTGCTAGAGCCATGCCCTGACAATATTTCCTCAAGTGAGGAAACTAATGTTTATGCTGCGTCCCCAATTAAATTATCATCTAAATCAATCAACAGTGACAAATGTTTGTCAAGTTGTGAATCTCCAGCTCATTTGCTACCAGGTTGCCTGCCTGCAACTCCAATGAAAGAGACAGACACTAAAAATAAAGATGGTTCTCTCGTAGATATTGATGGCGTGCAGTCCACTCCTGCAAAACTTGCTTCTACACCAGCTAGGCTGATGAGTTCAACACCTGCATTATGTACACCAAAAAGGAGATGCTATATGACCCCAGAAGATGTTTCTGCCAGCACACCAAACAAGTTAGTAAGGCGTCCACCTCGTAGCAGATCATTGAAATTTGACACTCCAGTGAAGAATGAGAAAGTTGAGGATGAGGACAAGGAGATAGATGATGCATCAGTTGATGATGATATTCTTGATATTCTTCCTGAGAATTTTATTCAATCGGTAGACCCCATTAAGAATTCTCTGTGATTTCAAACTACTGAATTATTTTAGTTCACCGCAGATAAATAATAATATAAACTTTATTTGTCTGTTTTTAAGGCAGGCTTATTTTGAATCTTTGATTTCCTTATTTCAATAAATTAACCAATTTCCATTTTTCCAGATAAGAGAAAAAGAGAGGAAGACTATGGAGGAGCGTGATCCTGTGATCTCTCAAGCGAAGAGGCGGCGACAGATGATTGCTTGCCTGCCCAAGCTCTTCAACATGATTCATTACTTCTTTCAGTCTATAAAACGTTCAGTCATCACAAAAGAGGAGCTTATTTACAAGATAATTTCAAGCCACTGTGATATAGTTGATAAAAGTAAGTCTGAATGGTAACCAGTTAGGTATTCAGATATTTTGTTTACAGAAATTTTAGATGTGCTAACTCTTGTTTTTTGTTTACAGGAGAAGTTGAAGAGCAGATGAGCTTGTTGTTGGAACTAGTTCCTGAATGGATTTCTGAAAAGTTGGCATCTAGTGGCGATTTGCTTGTCTGGTAAGATCCTTAGTAATTTACACTTAAAATGATTGCATTCAGATGGTTTGCAACTTTTATTTCAAATGAGTTTATTTACTCAAAGATCATCTAATGTATTATTTTAAACACGATCAGATGTTATATGTCATCTTCAGGACAAAAACTTGAAACTTCTTATTGAAGGCCATGTTATCTGTCTTTTGCAGCATCAACAAACTGTCAAGTCCAGAGTCCCTACGGGCACGGCTTGAAGAAGCAAAATGAATGGAGATTGCCAGATTATTTAACTCACTGCAGTGTATTGCGAGATGGTGTATAAGATTCCCTTACAGTGCGCCTTTGTAAATGCTAATTATTCCTTATATGCGAGCTAATTTCCATTCGGCACTGGTCTTTAGGTAAGTTAGGGATAAGGCTCCTACTCAGTTTGTTAAGCGACTAACAAGATAGTGAAAATCCTTGCTCTTCAGTTGCAGTTCAAAAATGATATGTAGATATCCGGTGATAATAAATTTCTATGACGAGTGCATTATTTTCAATAGATGGTAGATCAATTGGGAGAAATATCATGAAAAAGCAGTATCTTTTTCCTAAAAGCACATAGTTCCCTTTTATGAGTTCTTGTTATGGGGTCTTCATTATAGATTTGACTATTTGAACTGATGGTAATTTATATTGTTTCCGATCACATTTTAGTTTTCGTCTGGTCATTAAAATTTACAAGCTGTGTATCAATTTCAATATCTACCATGCCTGTGGCATAAAATTATATCAGATCAACATTTTGTACCTCATATTTCAGTTAAAAATTATCATCATAATCTTCTTTTACCTAATTCTGTGACACCTTGCTCGCCTTGTGACACAAATCAAAGATTTAAAGCTAGCTTGCCTCACATCGTTTTATTCCTATTTCCAGAGTATTTGGCTCGGGATACAATGTCAGGTACCCTTTTAAGGCAGGATTAGTCTCGTCAAGGTATTTCTGCTTCTGTTGAAGTTAATATTTGGTTCTTTGGCTCCTTCTGCTCGTCACAGTTGGGGAAAGTTTGCTCTTGTGGCTGGCAGAAATGTTGATCTCTTTCTTTGCCCCACAATAGGGTGTATAAACCAACAATTACTATGATTCCTCCCACTATACTGAAGGCCAAAAAAGAATTAAAAGATCAGAACCAGTTGTTTTATGTTCTAATAATTGTGACAAGAGCTTAGATTATACCTGCCCATGAGCAGTTTTTCACCAACAACCAAGTAGGCTAGAATCGCCACCATTACTGTTGTAAGGGGATTAAAACTAGTTACAAAAACTGGGCCTTTTTGTTTTGTGCACCATAGTTGAATGGCGATGGTCAAACCACAGCATATAACTCCCTTTTAGTCATCATAGAAAATAGAATCAAAATACATTAAAAGAAGTAAATTTTATGCTCTACTAAAATCAACTTACAGAATATACGATGGACCAGAAACCGATGGTAGAGGTAACCAACCACGGCGCAGCCGATTTATGCTCTATGAGTATTGTGAAGACTGCCGATTGTGCTCCACCAATACAGTTTAACCATGCTGTAAGTGACAGTTCTACCGGATACTTCTTCAATGTAGATGCCTATAAAGTTTTCATGTTTGTATGATCTTACATTGTTACTTTCAGAACAATAAATTTTTGCAACTTAAAGCATCCAAAGTAAGAAGTTTCTTTGGATACAAAATATAGCAATTAGCTTTTTTGGAGTATATTACTTATAGAGTCTAATGGTTCCCTTCATCAAAGTTATTTTACTTTCGCAGAGCTTGTTGAAGGGTTAAATACCTGCAGAATGTACCATACAGAGGCTGATATACAACTTGCAACAACCAGAATTGATCCTTTCATCCAGTTCTCATGAACAGAGTTATTTCCGATGTGGATTGCAACGTCCTTGAGGCTATGCACTGCAGGTCCTTTGTACAAAGTCATGGTTGTGACCCCAGCTAACGATATTAGAGTTCCCAGGATTTTAGCAATCCCACTACGATCTCTTACATCAACATGCTCCAACCTACATCAAATTCATTTAGAAAGTTGCTCATGAAATCTATGTGTTAATGAAATTAAGAGAAGTAATTATTTTAAACTGATTATTGAATTATGAAGTCCACACCTGAGAATGACTGCAAATAAGAAAGTCAAGCACGAGGTAGTATTAATCATCGCTGTGATGAAGGTTGGAGAGGTGTATCTCATACTTGCAAAATACATGTTAAGGGTTAATCCAACTCTGGTTTTATATCACAAAACAAAACAGTTAGTCTCATCATTTTTTCTGTTTTACATTCCAATTGAAGAATGAGACTAGTATCATCATTTTTTCTGTTTTACATTCCAATTGAAGAATGAGACTCGGTGACACTACCCGATGAAAGAAAGCAAAGATATCTCCAGAAATATTGATAATAGTCTTTGGCCTTACTTTTCTGCATGAAAAAAAAAAAAAGAAATCAAATCACTCTAAGTAATAAGCGTATTGGTCCTAAAAATGAGCCAGATAGACAAGAAATGTTATTATTTGGATATTAAGAAACTTAAAATGTTTCAGCAAGGGTGTGTGAATGTATAATGTACCTTTCAAGAAAATAAGCAACAGGGAACATAACTACGCCGCACTATGTGGCGATAAGTCACGTAGACATGAGGATTCAGGCCACTGTTGAAGGCTGCTTCTGTTATGAAATAGAGCGCCGTATAACTCTGAACCAGAACATTAGAGGTGTAGCTTAAATCTCCTAAACACCCTGAATGCACATGCTCTGGAGCCGTAGTTTCTGAGGGAGAGGTCATATCTTTATGCATGCTCCTAATTAAGTTTTGGTAGAAGCACAAAAATGCTACTAAACTGCTTCTATACTGATTATGCTTCTTGCTAGTTAATTTATGTTGAAGCACAGAATGCAACTATACTACTTCTGTATTGATTATGCCTAAAAGTTTTGGCGTGTAAACATCTTGTTCTTGAGCGAATTCCAACTTGGAAATTGCATGAAAGGGGAATATATTAATTAAAATTAGAAAATAGAACAATATCTTGTTATCATACAGTAACTTTATAAAGTTCACTTTGTTAACCATGGAACTTGTGAAAAAATATTATAAAAGCCTTTTAACGTGTTATATTCTGTATTTGATGCGAAATGATCTTGATTTAGGGAAAGATGGATGTAATTTAATTGGCAACTTGAAACAACTGTTTTTTTAGTTCAGTTCTCGCTTAAGTCAGATTCTCGACTTTCAGGTCACAGTACTTCTGGACCATTAACTTAGCTTTGTTTCTAAGTCAAATAGTACTCAACTGTACTGGCATTTGATTACGCCATCCATAAAATTGTGTTAACTGGAAATAAAACTACAAGTGTCACATCGTCAGAATGATCTTGATTTTATATGCTGCAATATGACACATCTCCTGAGTATAAGATTTCAATTACACATTTCTTACCGAATCAGAAGTGGAGGATGGGCTTTTCTACACTTTCCAAACACATTTTGATTGAATGGAGAGAGTAGAGCACAACTGTAATGGGAATAAAAGAATATTCTTCTTGTTGGTTATTCCTTTTTGCCTACCTCCCCCCTTTAGTGCGGAGATTCGATTAACACAATATTTTGTTCCACATTGACTTGGGTCAATCAAATATTTTCTCCTTTATTAAGTGAATAACTTCAGGGGTCAAAAACTATGCAAGAATCCGATTTGTGCATGTGATATAAACGTGACAATGATCGTTACAGGAGTTTCGATGAATCAGATTACAGGGCCAAAAAGGCCAACCATGCGATGACTTTGTTGCTTCCATTTGGATAGATGGGAATAGAACTATCTCTCTACTGCAGAAATGGACGTTTCCATCCCCATTTCTCAATGATCCTCTCTTTGTCGGAATATGTCTCTGCCCTACTGAGAATGGTAAGTTTCTCTTCTATCGCCAATCTACTTCTCAGATTTGAATACCAATATTCCACTTATTTCAAGTCTTGATTCGGCTCCTCAATCTCACGAGACTATATATCTTAAAATCAAATTTATCAAATTGTATAATGTGAGAGTTGTTAAAATTTTATTTTAGACCATTAACGGCAACTTTGGATAGTCAAGAAGGTTTCTTCTAATATTTCTTAATCACAAAAAAGTATACCAATAACTGTCCTTTAAAGAAGTTTTTAGCATTCTTCGGACTCCAAAATAATTTTGGTGTTAGAAGTCTCTGGATCAATGGCATTGTAGGCTCTAAAATAAATTATTCTTCTTGTCACAATCAACAACTGACTTAGAGTTAGAGAACCGGTAGCCAATATTTAATACGGGGACTTTGTCATTTTACCACCAGTCACAATCGATAAAAATATATTTTCCACTAATATAATCAGGTTCTTGCAACTTTGAGCAGAATCCAATGGGGTCTTGGGATTTTCTTCCCGTATAAGAAGTACTAAAATATACCAAAGCAAAGAGCAAGGAAATTATAGAGGGGGCGATAGAAATTAAGGAATGAGGCAAAGAGATAGAGATTTTAGAACACCCCAACACCCATCTTTGGGCACCAATCACTGGGGCGCTGCGTCTCCCTGTTAGCAAGAAACATGCCCAAAGAGTCACTTGAACAAAGTATTTAAAGCTGAACTCAATCTGCACTCGTGATGAGATCTTCCCTGCTGAGGACGATGACTTCAACTACTTAACCCAACTCATGCACAAAACACAGCCTGAACTTGAGCCCCAACGCCAAGCCGCCGCGGTAGAGGATTTTTCTCAAAACTTACGAGGAAGGAGAGGTTGCCGTGGGATCAATTCGAAGAAAAAGAGATGGTTATTCCCCAGATGGATCCTCGTATAGGTGGCCTCAAGGTTGGTGTTAATTGTTGAGTTCATCAGATTCAAGAGCTGGCAGTGGAGTCTTGAGAGAAGATTAGCCAGCGACATGTCAAACATATACAATATATCATTTTCTCTTTAATTTTCTTGAAATGTAGGATGAATTCTTGTAGACTGTACGTTGCATGCATGCTCCATCAATATTGGATTTGGATTTTTCTTTGAATCAGATTCTTGTTTCGGTACATAAAAATTTACAAATACACCTGAGCCATAGTGTCTATGTGGTAAATGGCCAAATGGGAATAGTTCCTGGCCCTCTACGAAGATCTCAAAACATGCACTTCCAATTCCATATCAGTGATCGGGTAAGTGGACCGACGGTAAAAGGGTGATGTAATTTCGCCATTTCGGTAATGTAGTTGATTGAAACAATAAAGAAATAATATAGGTGATCTTTAACTAGAGTTGTCACATCAAGTTGACCTGTCATCTCTTAAACTTGGAGCGGATTGACCAAAGTTTCAAAATATTATTAATGACAGAGACTTGGATGAAATGAATATTCTCCTTAAAATAAATTTCTAATTACAATCTTGGTACGTCTAATTGCATGAATTCCTAAACCTGAATCATTCTAATTAAAATAATTGTTGTTTAAAAATGTTGTGTGTGATTTTTCCGCGAAGCTTGGGCTATCGTGAGGATATAGCTTGACCAAGAACCAGCTCAGCAAGTGATGTTTGATCAACCCAGCAGAAACCATGCGTGAATAATCTGAGCAATCAATTCCCAGATCCAGATTTGTGGAAAAGATTAGATCAACAGCAATTTCTGGGCAATTCCAGCGCCCAATCGCGAGAATATCAGAATTACATTTTAAATCAATTGTAATCCCTTTGTTTTTGCTCTTTCCTCTCTACAAATCTTGTATATAAACTCTCAAATTATGAAAAAAAAAAAGGTCAAATTTGTCCTAGATTTACATTGTAAGCTCTCACCGTAAATACAAAACAGTGGAAGTAGGCTTCAGAGTTTACTCGTCGAACCACTTTAAAAACTCTCATTGTCTTTTACTATTGCATCTTTATACCTTATCACTGATTATCTTTAATCACGCTCACATCTATTCCGGTTTCGACAGGGTCAATCGAATTCTTGGTTGGTGCAGATTTTGTATCAATATTTTGGCGCTAAAAGAGGGCTTCATCAACATCTCTGGTATTCCCGTGAACCAATAGCAACCAAACCAATCTAGGGCACAATGGTGCACACCAGGTCAAGACTACTACGAAACCTTGAAAAAGTGGAAACACCACCAGGAAGTGCAACAGGACGCTGTTGGACGCCAACCACCTGTGCCACCAACTCAACAAGTCACAAACCACCATGGGGCAGGGAAGTCAAACCATGAGAAACGGCCAGTTGGTGGAGATGATCGAATAATGGTTACACAAGCGGTGCAATAAAACGTGGCTGAGTTGGAACTAGCAACCAACTGCCAGAACTCAACAGCCATGCTTCACCAATGCCACCCCAACAGGTATGAATTGCAGGTGGATGATCTGATTCGTCGGCACAAAGAGGCGACCTACCACCCCAACCGCAAATTGCATTCCGCTCACGAGCACAAATCCTGCGGGTAGACTAACCTCGGAAGTGACCAGGGAAGCAACGCCTAAAGGAAAGCGAAGACAACGGACACCTTGAGATGCTCGACGATATCCCCAGCATCAACGTGCTGGGATTAACTCACGCCCAAGACAAGATCAATCTTCGTAGGTTCGCGGGATGAGCCAAGTGCGTCAATCTGGCAATGACCGACACATTTCGTTATAATCGATGTCAGAACAATGCACTGACGAGCATGATAGCACGTATAAGCCTAGCCATCATGACTCGAACTCGCGCATCAACAGACACTGGAGGGACCTCGCAAGCGACAGATTTGCAAACCCATTTGCTCGAAGTAAGGCTAAATAGAGTCAACTAAGGCAACCATAACAAAGACTTAGATCGCATGAAAAAATGCTCGATGATCTGAGAGCTGCCATAATGGCATGGTGGAGGAAATAGCAAGTTCCCCCTTCACAGAGGAAGTTTGCCAAGCCCCGCTTCCACAAGGATTCAGGGCGCCAGAGAGCAAGTTTTATAGGAGGGGACCCTAGAGACCACCTGACAGTTTCAATGATCTGATGGAGCTACACCAGTCTAGTCTTGGCTAAATGTCGATGTTTCGCAGTCACATTGGTAGGGGATGCTAAGAGGTGGTATAAGAGGCTCAAGGTGAACTCCATCAAACTCTTGGCAACAATTCTCCTCGTTGTACTTACAACAATTTCAAGCGAGGAGGCGGTTCGTGATGCGCTCAACCACTTGAGTAACATCGTTAGGAGAGAGACAAAAACACTAACCTCGAACCTAATAAGGTTCTAGAACGAACAGTCAAAGGTCGCGGATGCGCCCGAGGAGTCCATCCAAACTTTGCTAATTATAGGGATCAGACCGAACACAAAGCTATGGAAAGAGCTCCAAAGTGAAGATCAGTAAGCCTGGCTCAGTTAATCAGATGGCTGCAAATACCAGAGGGTAGAAAGCTCTTGGACGCATTGGCCAGAAGCTCGACGCAAGGAGCCTGGACAGGCGAGAAGATCGCCCATCGAATAAGCAGGGGCCAAGTTCGCAAAATAGGGACCACAACAGGTTCTAAAAAGACAAAACAGATAATCGGAAGACAGGCAGCCTTTCCCGCGGTATGCAGAATACACCCTCCTTACTCAAGACATCGCCAACATATAAGAAGTCTTTGCGAGGTGAAGAGACTGCCCGCTCCAGAGGAGGGGGGGGCATCGGGCAGAAGAGATCGGCAAAAGTACTACGGTACCTGGGGCGTTGAACACAACACAAATGAGTGTCATACTTTGAATGACGCCATTGATGACCTAATAAGAAGGGCTATCTAAAGGAATTC